TGATTATCAGTATTAAATAATTCTCGAACATCTTCTATAGTAATATATACATCCTCTAGATTTTGTCGTATATATAGTTTGCCAGTTTCTAATGCTCTCCACCTCAATATCGAATTCAATGCAAAGTAACGAAATCGTTGATGCTGTGCAAATCTCATATCATGATATTTTATTAAATGTTCAAAGTATTCAGCAGGGTGCACGTGACGACATCGTTGAATACTACGCAAATCTGCTTTTCCAGTAGGAAACAATGCAGGAAATGCTCGTATTATATAACCAGTATCCTTGAATTCATTAATAGGAATATCATTAATCATAGGCCAGTTAATAGGTTTATCATTTGAATTCATAAGATTATTAATTTCATTATAGGTGATAACCTCTTCGGTTTCTTTAGATATAGGATTAGGAACAAAAGAATACGTAATATGATCATCAGATATGTCAACATTATCGTGACCATTGCTTAAATTAACTATGTCTTTAGTTAATGAATTATCGTCATGTATAGTACGTAGTCTCTTAAATACAGAACCATTTTCTGGAAGAGTTTGTAACATATCCTGGTCGATTTCAATGTTTTTATAAAATGGGTTATTTTCCTTGAGAAACTTTAACCATACTAAGATGTTCATACGTTTGACTTTAAAGTCATGAAATGTAGCACAATCTTGTCCAGTGCGCCGAACAATTAAAGTATCAATTGTGGCCGGGTCCCGAGGTAATTTGGTAATAAATTCTTGAACATCTTGTGAGAAATTGATCACGTGTCCTCTATATCCAAGTTGTCCACCTTGAAGATTAAAGACAGTTAACATCGGAAGAACCTGTGAGATTAACATTTCCTCAACTTGACTAAGCGGTGGTAACTCAATTGGTACTTTTCCTAAAAATAGGATAATTTATTAAACCTATAAACATGTTTTAATAATATTAATATTTTTTATTACATACCCGGGTCCATATCATTCTCTGGTGAGAACCTTTTTGGAATCAATTTGTCTCTACTACATCTAGTACAAGAACCAGTTTGATAGTTTATAGTAACTGAAGGAAAGGATTCTTTACAAATAGGGCAATAATTATGCCTTAGTTTTGCAACGGCGTCACGAAATTTTTTCAGAAGATTATGATCATCATCAGTAAGTTGGCATGCGGGTGAAGCTTCGTTTTGAAAAATAGGTTAATTATATGCAATATATAATTTATTTAATAATAATTGTACCTTTATTTATGTGATCTATATATACGACAAAATCTAGAGGATGTATATATTACTATAGAAGATGTTCGAGAATTATTTAATACTGATAATCA